AGACAAAAACGAGTCAATCCACAAAACGCGATTTGTCATTTGTCAACCACGCCAAAGTTGGCAGAATTAAAAACCACACTATCATTTTAGAGTAGGATGAGTGCAGACGCCGATGATTAGACCAGATGTTTAAAAACCTACTACCTTACTTACACTGCCCTAAACTTACATTGTTTAGGTAGACAGACGTCTGCAAAAGCTATATAAATTTATGATCAAAATTCCCAAAGGTAATAGTAAAACTTATCAATTAGAATAATATTGTAGGGTCGTTTATGACCTCAGAGGTATGAACGTTTTTATTTGAGATGGGACATTCCTAAACTAATATTACAAATTTAATTAAAATGAGGACGGGATTATAACACTACGTCTGCCGTAAAATATCACGTTCTTAATGTAAAAAAAACAGAGCGTACGTGTCGATTCTAACTTCGTCAAGCGATGAGTCACGTATAAAGATTCGTGGCTTTATCATAATTTATGAACAGATCTTAAAAAATAAGAGAAACGTAGTTTTATTTAAAATAATGTTGCATGCAATGCAGGCAAGCCGGCAAGAATAAAGACACACACCTGTTTTTGGGGTTTAAAATACAAACTCCAACAAAAGAGCATTTCATTTTTCTATTTTTGTTCATTTAAATCGAATGTACTTAGATATTTTATCAGTTTGAAAATACTAAATTACAATAATTCCTATTACAAAAGGGCGAATAATACCTAATACCTACTTATTAATCATTTTTCCTTACCTTAACTTATCCTCTGGGACCCTAAAAAGTGATTTTCCTCCTCCGGTTTTTGTAGAACAGTATAAATAAACACATTTGTATCCCATTTTAAATAAGATATACAAACTACCAAAACTTAGAAATAACAGTTCGAAAGTTCAACAAAAATCCTACACGCGTTTTTTTAAAAACAAACATATAACCACGCACTATGTCACACCAGCGAGCTTCAGCAAACGAATACGACACAGCAAGGGCTTCCGGACTAAACGACTGGTGTATTTACACCACTCAATAGGCGTGTCGGGTTTACCGAGCGGTTTCCGATGCAGTCGCTTTCTTTCGCATCTGTAATAGGTAATTTGTGATAATGTGTAGTTTATTTTTTAGTTAAGTAGATTTTTGCAATTTTATTTTATAAAAATAAGTTTTTCGTTTTTTGTGAGTTACTAGCCAATAAACTTAACCTATAAGTACTAATGATTCATTTATTTGCCTTATACGATATGTATATACTATATGCATATATGTTAGATAAAATCACGCGAGTGATAGCGTAATTTTTTGAGGTGCGAGTGATGGAAAGTTAATTAAATATTTTTATATAAAATGTAGGACTTTTTATAGCGTGTTATGTGAACAAATAAGAAAAATATATGATTTTGATAATCAAGTGCTGTCCTGTTTACATATTTTTTCTCCAAAGAAATTGCTGGTTCTACCAGAGAAAATTGCCCTTCATTGCATCCAGTTATGGCATATTTTAAACGGTTTTACAACTCATAAAAAGCACAATTAATAGATAACGAACGGCATCTATTGCCAAATTAAATTTTTGAAAATCCGGAGTGGATGATACAGACGTTTTCTGGGCAAAAATTCTTAACCCAGGTATGCCTATCGTACGTTTAAACGTACAGATTTACAGATTTCTACATTTAAGCGTTTTGCAGGTTTTGAAAACTTCACATCTAGATGGTGCCACTTGATATTATTTCTAAAAACACGTGCTGTAAACGTACATACATTCTTAAGAAACCGGTTTTTGAAGTGGCGTGTTTTGAATCAGTAATTTTTTTTTGTACCGTTCCCAGAAAATGACGCAACCCATTGATCTAAAACTAGTACGGTAAGTAATTTTTACCTTATTGTATAAAAATGCATTGCAAGGTATAGGATATGGTTAATATATATTCAGGTTAGGTGTTTTATCTATATGACGGCACAAATTTACTTTCTTGCGTTTCCTACTTGGCGCTAAAGTCTACTGTACGTTTAAACGTACAACAGTAGGCTTATATACCTATAAAAAGCAATATCACTATAAATTTTGTAACAATTTTTATGTTTGTTTTTTCAGGGGTTTAACCCTCAATGAGTTGTTGGAAGAACTGGGGGATGACATCAATGAGGGAAGTAGTAATGAACATGACGTTGTAATTCTACCTCCAACAAATGCCAACGAAGACTTCACCAATGAAGATTCGGGAGATGAGCAAGACGTTGCCATTGGAAATTTACCCTCCCCAGTTATTAGGGGAAGCAGAAATATTTAACCCGCAAAACGAAGATCTACCCAATAATGATCAATGAGAAGAAAAAGATTACTTGTCGCTATCGCACCTTATAAAGCAGAAGCAGAAGAAAATTATAAGGTCTTATCAGTGGCTAAAAGAAGATCTAAGAACCGAAACTAATTCCTTACCATGGGAGCCACTTTGTTCTGCAGCAAATGAAAGTTCACCACCGGAGCTGTTCGCCAAATTTTTCGATGACGAAGTATTCTCAATGTTATAATAATAATCTTTATTTCTCAAGTAATACAAAAATGTTTACATTCCTTATGCTGGCCGAGGCGCGGTTGCGACCGGTGATTCAATGTTATCTTATCACCGCTGACTCAGGAGAAGGATCGATACGGCCACCGAATGGGGTTTAAGATTGTTATTTGTAAGGCACTGCATTTTCAACTCTGATGCGTAGCGCATCTCGTTACCGTTTTATTGCTACTTCCCCACGTGCCCGACGACATCAGAAGTGGTTGAGAACATTTAGTGTTGGTGTTTTGTGAAGTTTTGTTTGTCTCAAGTTCAGATACTCAGTTAAAAATGGTAGTCGCAAAAAAATCTTGTTGTTAGAGGTATTTTTAGGAGAAAACTCTACATCGAAGTATCAATAAACTGTACACGTCCGAAGTAGTTCTATTTTAAAGTGAGCACATTTTCATTGAAACCAGGCGAGACCATAGGAAAACGACATTTGAAGACCGATACTGAAGGCTCCAGTAGACCAAATGAACGGTTGGTCTGTTTTGAATGAAAGTTTCTTGAAAAGGAATTGCCTGTGTAGAGGATATAAAGATCCAAAAGTTAAGTAATCCAAAAGTTAAGGTAAATAGCATATTGATCACTCTCTTTCAGGCATATTGACCGCCCTCTGCAGGCATATTGATCGCTTTCTTCAGGCATACTGACCGCCCTCTTCTGGCATCCTGATAGGCATATTGACCGCCCTCTTCAGGCATACTGACCGCCCTCCTCCAGGCATATTGATCACCATCTTAGTGACATGGAAGACATATTTAAAGTACTTCATGAATTATAAAATGATAAATAAATTGGAAGATATTATCAAGATTCTAGAACCCTAGAAAAATGGCGCCCCACGTTGGGCGCCATTTTGTAGCATTAGAAGTTATAAAAAAATGATGGAATGTTTTTTTTTATAAGAATTTTCTTTTAGAAAAAATATTAAAACAACTAATACTATGCGACGGAGCTGTTCGCCGGTGAGCAATGGGTCGTAAGCTAGTGAAAATTAAATTGTGATAATTACGTCTTTATAATATAAATCACAAATGTTTTTATAATTTTATTCTGTGGTGTTCAACACTAAAGTACCACATAAAGAAATAGTAATTTATGTTTATTACTTATGAATTGCAGTTAGACATAAATTTCATTGCCTTTCATAGAATGTTTGAAATTTGACTGTTGTAACCACAACAGTTTTAGGCTTTAACACTCAAATCACTGTATGTTTACAGATTAAAATTTTGTTTTTAATTAAAAATATAAAGAATTAAATATGCTTAAGTACTTTTTAAACAAAGAGCATCACAATATCATCAATATTTCTATATTTTGTTTTAAAGACATTCAAAGATAGTGTTAAGATTTATAGGTTCTCAAAATTTCTCTGCATTTTTTATGTGGATTCAGATTAAAACTAATGCGTAGATATATCTTTTTAATATTAATATTCTTTGAGCATCAGAAGAACTTCCCCACAAAATGAATATGTATTAAGGATAATCTGAAGCATATTGATTGCCTTCTCAGGCATTATCGTCACAATTTTGTTAATAATGATCGCCACCCTAAGCATAATAATTGTTGCAATGTATGGGGTGCAAGGGGTATTGAAGCGATATATATATAGCCTAGCTTACCCAAAAGTCAAACTCACCTTCACGTGGTGCACCCTGTTTACACAAACAAGACCCTCAAATAACCCATTGGTTTTGCTATATCATAATTATGGTCGCCATCTGAGGCAAAACATCAGTGATCGCCATCTTAGGCACAATTTTGGTAGCCATCTCAGGCAAAACAGTGATCGCCATCTTGGGCACAATTTTTGGCCGCCATCTCAGGCAAAACAGTGATCACCATCTTAAGCACAATTTTAGTCGCCATCTCAGGCAAAACAGTGATCGCCACCTTAGGCACAATTTTGGTCGCCATCTCAGGAAAAACAGTGATCGCCATCTTAGGCACAATTTTGGTCGCCATCTCAGGCGAAACAGTGATCGCCATCTTAGGCACAATTTTTGGTCGCGATCTCAGGCAACACAGTGATCACCATCTTCGTCACAGTTTTGATCGTCATCTTGAGCATAACCTTAAACGTTAAACTCACGCATACTTTGTCAATAATAGTTAGCCTCTCGGTTGGCCTAAATCATTATTTTTTTTTGTTTTGTCGGTACTTTAAAAAACTTTAAAAAACTAGCTTTCGAGGACGAAAGTTGTACAGGATGATGATACAGGTGATTCAATGTTGTCTTATCACCGCTGATTCACGAGAAGGATCGATACGGCCACCGAGTGGGGTTTAAGATTGATACGTTTTTTAAATTTTTCTTTGTTATTTTTTCAGATAAAGTCATAAACTATGAATTCTTCTCGGAAAAGTCAAGAAAATCAGCAAACATGGTCCCAAACAAATATGCAGCAGACCATCGACGCAGTGGTCTGAAAATGAATGGGTTGGCTCCAAGCCTCAAACACATTGAAAGTTCCAAAAAGTACCCTAAGCAGGCGAGTAGAAAACAAAAACAAAGTTTTGCAAGGAAGTAAAGTCGGCTATTTGGGAGGAAGTATGCCGGTATTTTCAAAAGATATCGAAGGACAGCTAGTTGATCATATTAAAACTTTAGAGGTGCGATTTTTTGGGCTTAGTTCCCGTGACCTCAGGAAGTTGGCTTATCAGTTGGCAACAAAATTAAAACTAAAACACAAATTCAACCAAGAAACAAAAATGGCGGGATGGGATTGGTTACAGGGATTTCTAAAACGAAATCCATCTATAAGTGTTAGAACTCCGGAAGCCACGTCATTAGCAAGAGCGCAAGCCTTTAATAAGGTGCAGATAGCAGCCTATTTCGAAAGGCTTGAACAAGTACTTGATGAATTCAAGTTTAGTCCAGCACAGATATACAATGTAGATGAGTCTGGTCTATCTACGGTGCAATCAAAAATGGAAAAAAATTTGGCAACCAAGGGTCGAAAGCAGGTCGGTACACTAACAGCTGCTCAAAGAGGCCTACATTTTACATTAGTTTGATGTATGAACGCAATTGGTAATTTTATCCCGCCTGCGCTTATTTTTGCCAGAAAAAAATATGAAGGTTGAATTGTTAGATAAAGCTCCAATTGGTTCTGTGGGATTTGCCCATGAGAAGGGATATATGAATGGAGATACTTTTTTATTATGGATTAAGCATTTCGTAAAGTTTGCACATCAAAGTGTTGATAACAAAATTCTGCTGTTATTGGATGGTCATGGGAGCCATAAACAACTAGCAGTATTTAGAACATGCAAAGGAGTACAATATTATTTTGTTTTGTTTTCCCCAACACTGTACTCCCAAATACCCCAGTCAAATTAGTAAAAAAAGGCCAGCGGTGGAAAAAATTCCCACAGTTTTGAAAATAGTTTTAAACCATTCCTCTAGACTTGGGCTGATATATGTCAAAAGTCTCCGAAGATAGACGATGAGCTCGAGTAGTGGGAAGGAGTTAAATGTAAATTTTTCACTTTTTTGCTTATATCTCGAAAACTATGACATCTACCAAAAAACGCTCTATACCGGGTGCGCACAGGGGGCTCCGGGATAAAATTTTTGGCCAAAAGTGGCTCAGTGTGAAATGCCTTTAAGGCAAACAAATTTAGCGTCAACTTAAAGTCAATAATCTGGTAGGCCTGGAAACGTAAAAAACAAAAACAAAATATTGTTTGACATATGTCAAGAATGATTTATTTTCAAGTTGACTTCATGAGTTTTACAATGTGCGTTTTATTGAATTATTTTTATATAGTTTGGCATCGCAAATCACTTTGTGCATTTTTAGAGGAAAGTGAGTTTGAAATGGATTTGAGAGAAGATGGTATGTACACTTAAAAATTTCAAAAGGATTTACGCACAGCGGAAATTTTATTGTTAAACTGCAGAACCGTGAAAAAAATTCACAGTCCTTTACAAAGAGCAACCGGGGGGGCATGAAAATGATGAATAAAAACGTAAAAATATGATTAGTGTTAATATGAGTGTATTACATACATATGTTTAAATAACGAACTTAAATAACAGATTTAAAGATTCACTGAAAAAGTAGTAGTGTTTAACATTAAATAAAACATTATCAATAATAATTATGCGATCGCACCTATCCGTAAAACAAGCAAGCAAAAAAACCTCGAAAAAAACAAAATAACATACAAAACATCAGGTTAACACGATGACAGATCATGATCAATGACAAATAAAGAATTCTTACGGAAAGTTACACTTTACGATATAATTTTTTAACTGTTAAAGGCAAACCCCATTTAAACACAAAACTTTTTAATACCTACTACTGTATCTAAAAGACTTTTTTTAAATTACTAAATTCTTAGCCACGCTTTTGTTTTTTTTGGCTGTTGTGCGTCACGTCACAGATTAACAGGCCCACGTTTGCACCACAAGGCGATGCTGCAGACCACTAGGTAGACCGGTCGTAGAAATTTATGTTATACAACTTGTAGTCAATCTACACAAATATTATCAAAAACTTTTTTTCTTTTAAAATGTGTTCAGATTTGTAAAAAGTATAAGTCAAAATCGCAAAACTTAAATTTGATATGAGTTTCTTAGTTATTAACTAATATAGTGGCGAATTACAAAAATTCCTTATCAATGAAAATTAATGAGTTAAATAAAATAATTTAATAAATTACTAGCTTTTTCTCGCAACTACGTTCGCGTTACACCTCGAATCGTTTATGCATTGATTTAAATGATTTTTTACTTCTTTATAGAGAGCTAGTGAACATATAGATGTTTTTTATTTTTCATCTTTTTTTTATTTATTAAGAGCACTAATACTCTCTTTATAGGTTATTTTTTATTCTTTGAAGGATAATTGAGGAAGATATATTTCCTTATGATGTCACTAAATAAACCCTTGTATAAAATTTTATACTGTCTGGTTTATAATGTTATAGTATTGCATTTTCGTACAGCAAACTTTCATTCCCTATTTTACTCCCTAAGGGTATAAATTTCATAAATTCGCTTTACCTTTGTGCCAATTTTTATGTGTATAATCCAGACGTCACCAAGTTTTATATAAATTTTTACTAACTTTACCCATTTGGTTGATGAATTTCAAAAATTTCTTCTAATTCTTTTTGTAGGATTTCATTCTTCTAGACGAAATAGTAAGGAATTTTCATACAACAAACTGTTCCGAGATAATTTTACTCTCTAAGAGGATGAATTTCCTAAAATCGCTTTGTGTAGCTAATTCACTAATGTCGTTTAAACGAACCTTTGTGCTAATATTTATGTATCTAAAGCTGGCGGCATCAACTCACTCTAAAATATCTAAAAACGTAATATATAATCTAACTGACACACCACTGACAATGACAACTAATTTATTTCTGGAGGTATTGTGTGTAGGTGTTTTCAGGTATGTTTTAGTATTTAGTCGTTTTACACAAAGAAATAGCCATTAAGCACTATAAAAATACTTCATAACAAATCTACACATATATACCTTTCATTTAAAAAAAGAATCATCAAGATTGGTAAAGCGCTTTCGGCGGGATGGATGCAACAAAAAAACCCTTTGAGCTTTTATATATGTATGGACTAATTATTTTTCCAATATATTTTACTTTGCAAATTTTTATAAATATTCAGACTCGCCAATATCGTACTCCACCGTGTCCAGCCTGTTTAGCCAAACGTAGGCCGATTCCTCTTCGGCGGCGTCGTGACCCTGGCCGAAGGAAGAGTCTTGAAGACGCTCATCCGCGCATAGGAATAAGTTGACATTGTAGCGTATTGCGTATTAATCGATTCTGAAACTTTCTGTCTCGTGTATAACATGTTACGCAAGTTTATTATTTTAATCTCGATTTTAATGGATAAATGTGTGAAATGCCACCTGAATATCTTCCGCCATGACATGTTTTTACATTTTTGTTATGGTAAAGTGATTTGTATAAACTTTATTCAATAACGTATATTTTCCTCCATTTGGTGATTTTTTAATTTTAAGCGAAAATTAAGTATAACATTTTAGGAAAAAGAAACACTGTAATATTTAAAGAAATTAGAAGAAATTAGTCTTATTTTGAAAGGAAAATATAGAAAAAACTCTTTCTATAGAAAAAGTCTTAATACTAACCAGAATCCGGTGACATATACGCGGTCTCACCCGAAACATTACTTATTACTTCGCATAACTTGAAGAATATCTACTTTTAATAATGAACACTTCAGAAATACACCAGTAAAAACATTTATTATTTGAGATGTTGTTATAGCTTTTATAGGCCTGTTTAACGACTTAATAAGTTACCTAGCGAAAAAATCTGTGCGCGTACCTACCACTATTGTTACAGGTTAATTCGTTAAAGAAATATGTTACACAAGTAAAAAACGCTAAAATTTTAATGGTATTACTTGTGCATTATTGGCCTTATAATGTAATTTGTTGGAATTATATCTTCTTTAAATATAATTAGACTTTTTAACGACTTTTAAGTTACCTAGGAAAAAATCTGTGCACGTACCTACCAGTATTTACCAGTTACAGGTTAATTCGTTTTATTAACCAGTTACAGGTTAATTCGTGAAACAAATGTGTTACATATTATTTGTTGTATTAGTGGTATTATATTGGAATCAGCTTGGCATTAGTGGGGCATTATATGAGAAATTTTGGTATTTAATTTGTATTTTTGGCATTACTTTGGCATTAGTATACAGACATTTGTCAGCGGTTTACTCCTTGTAGATAATCAAAAAGTTTTTTGATAAAATTTGCTTTTTATGTCAGATCATTTCTATGAAAAATTACATTAGATTTTTATTAAAGACGCTGGGTAATTAAAACATTAACTAATAAAGCTTGTCCACTTTAAATAAGGTGTCACGAAATATCCTCCTTGGAGTGTTTGGGTTAAGGGGTGTATAATAAATTAATCGTTGTTTTATAATAAAAACCATAAAACATTTATTTGTGAATAAAATAATGCAATGGTTGGATATCTCTCCTTTATAATTAGGTGGCTAAAAATACACTATAATAATTAGAAAAAAAATTTTGTACTTATTTAGTAATTACGCCAATATTAATTAATTGACTTTCTAATCTATTCTATTTTATGTACAAATATATTATTAAATTTTAAGCATTAAGTAATAAAACACTTCGTCGGGGGCCCTCTTATATCGTAAGAGGTTACGAAATATAATCACTGTTGGTTAAACCCCTTACAGAAAACAGTGTTGTGGGGTGTAAAAAAATTGTATAATCAATGTTTTTTTTTGGTTAAAAAACTATAAAACATTTCTGATTTGTGAGATTAAAAAAACAAAACAATGCATTGGTTAAAATATACACTCAATACATATGTATGTGTTATAACATAATATAGCCATTACTATTATACTATTATTATTAAAATAATATGTGTGTAACATATTTCTTTAACGAATTAACCTGTAACAGACATTTATATGCCCAGTATATTTTTGTTTAACAAACCAATCAGGAAAAATCCAAAACCTACCGTTATAGGAGGTATAAGATGATTAAACTTATATAATGACAACTACTTATCGGATAACAAATTAATTACTACTGTCAGCTAGTTCAGCTACTGTCTAGGTAGAATATACCTAGAGTACCTACACCTAACCTATGATGTAGGTAGATTAAAGATTATTTTGACGTTACCTCTCACTTCGGTGTCACAAGCTGAATTTTTCAGGGATGGAAGTACAGTACATGATATGGGGACCCTTATTCCGAAAGTAGTACAAAATTAGACGGGTAAAAGGGCACTATCATCAAAAATCGATATATTAATACCACCGTATAGAGAAAACAAATACTTATTTTTTGATCCAGTACACAATAAAGTCTTCGTAGGGAGTAATTTTTTATAATTGTGCAGAAATGCAGTTGTGGACTGTATTAATTTTAAATTTTAGTTTGACTGGTCTTATTTTATCAATGAAAATTACGTTAATAGCTGGGAGAAACCGCACAGAGAAATGAGAA